ATTAAGACACCAAGCAGAATTTAACAAAAGAGAATCTAAGCATAAGCAAATATATATCTTCAGCCAGAACATTACAAGATGGGTCAAAATTACTCTGGTTGCTCAATTTTGCTACCACTGCCTTGTCCTTCAATAGCAGATTCACTGAAAGCCAACCTGCATCAAGGGCCTGCATCATGGACCATCTTGCAGCTGTAAGTGTGAGTCCATCAGAATTCCCAGAGAGTTGGATTTGATCCATAATAAAAATGTCTGCCTGTCCTTCACAGCTTGAAGTGCAACTCACAGAAATCTTGCCCTGAGAGGAAACTTGGGCACTGACAGCTAAAGACCACTGTCCTGTGAATGATGGAAAATATCAAGAAAAAAAGAGACCCTGCTAAAAAATCTCTCCTCCTGAGCTAGATCTCCCTGGCAAGCAGCACCTAAAGTACTACAGCTTTTGCTATTAGCTTCTTGAAATTCTAGCCATTCTGATCTTGCACCCTCACTAATAAACTTTTCACTCACCTTCTCTTGTCTAAACACCTAGGCATTCCTAGTCTTCCATAGCCACCACAAGATATAGGTAGATAAACTAATTCTATCCTTGAGGTTGGAAGACAGATTACCTTTGCTCAGATTCAATCAACAGAATCTTGAAATAGATGGGAGTGAAGAGAGAAAAGCATACAAATTAAGAAACAAAAAAGTGTAGACAATATGTAAGATTTAAAAAATCGGGGCAAGACAGTGCGGTACATGCAAATGAAGCACATCATAGAGAATGGGTCTATGTGAGGTTCGGTGAAGGGAGGAGTAGCCCATGTGCACCGAGGTTTCATCCCAAAAATAAGCTAGGCCCAATTTCCCTATTTGGCCTGTTTCATCCCAAAATCAATTGATGATGGAAGGAGTAACCCACTAGGCTTATAAGTATGCCGAATTTCTCTATATAATCAATGTGGGACAAATCACAAGTGATACTCCAACACAATCCCCCTATATATTAATTCAAAACGTGCTAAGAGCTGAGTCTATGTTCCAGGTTCGCACGCTTTGGAATCCTACATGTCACAATATCATGTTGTGTAATTAGGTTTGGATAAAAAATTTGGAAACAAAATTAGCTTCGAAAGTGCCATAAATAGTTTTTTCACAATACATTATTGTCTTCCATCAATCTCTCTTTCATTACCAAATTTGTCTTAAATTTAAAGACCACACAAATCTTTCTTTCTTATTTCATTTTACTAAGGATTTATCTCATTCATCATATTTTTTTATTTTTTTCAAGTCGTTGTTTGCGTAATGAATAATGATGAACTGAAATTATATTGATAATATAATTAATGAAATCTTAACTAAACACGTCTCTTATATTAATTCTTATCACTTTTAGCCCTTATCTTAATTATCATCTCATATTTTATTTTTCCAAGTTGATAAATTTTAGCTCATTCATTATATTTTTTTTATTGTTCCAAGTTGATAAATTTTAGCCAATTCATCATTTTTTTTTTTTCAAGTTGATAAATTTTAGCCCTTTTTTAACCCGTGTCTTTGTTTTCTTATTGATGAACTAAATTATATATTATAATTATATTGATAATATAATTGATGAATTCTTAACTGAACACATCCCTCATCTTATTAATAATAACCTCTTGATTTATGGGTGTCACTATTCATTACAAATTTGTGTTGTGACAAGGATGAAAAAATTGTAAGTAGAACTAATAATGTTGTTTAAAAATAATTTTTTTAGAATTTGAAATAAATTACCAATATAAAATAGTTTTTATTATATGAAACTTTCATTTATTTATTTTGTATATACTTACAATAACTAAATTTTTTTATCGTTTTTGTTCAAAAATCTATATATTTTACAATCTTTTTTATTAGACCATAGTATTAATTTAAATTTGATGGGAAAAACATGTAATAAAATTAATAATAAATCAATAAGTTCAATAATTCGTACTCATAAAAGATAATGAAAAAAACACTTATTAAACACACAAAAATATTTATTAAATACACAAAATACACTTTCGTGGTTTTTCATTTTGTAGCACTAGTTTTCTAATTTTAATGTCTATTTTCTATTTTGTTGCATTTTATATTTCCTATTTAATGTCGAAAATTGTTTTTAAAAATATTTGTTATTTAAAAATAATTGCAAATAATAAAAATATTTTTAGGATTATTATATTATTTGAATTTATTACAAATGTTTCTTAGAGTTTCCTTATTATTATAGATAATTTACCTTAAAATATTTGTATTAATATTATTTTTGTAGATAATTCACTTCCAAATATTTGTATGACTATTACGAAGAAAATTAAAATTCAAATATTTGTATTAATATTGTGTTATAGATAGCTTACTTCCAAATATTGGTATGAATATTCTTACAAAATTTTTAGAATATTTATATCAATATTGTTTTATATAAGTAATTTACTTCCAAATATTTGTGTGAATATTTTGACAAAATTTTAGAAGTATTTTCACAATCCTTTATTGAATTTGATCAATGTTATGAGAAAATAATAATAATTACGTGCATCTATTCTCTTAAAATAGGGTAGCTACTGCATTGGTTCAACTGCATATTTGCGTAGATTTAATATGGACAAATACATAAATTTATTCACTTAGAACTAAGTTTTCAAAGAAATGGGAATAAATCAATGGGAATATAAACCAAACCTTATTTACATTGAATATATTTGTCATACGTAATATTTCCTCGTATCACTTCTATCCTAAACTGTAATGGCATGCCGTGATCCAGTAAGCACTCCTCTTCCTACACGTCTCTCTACCGTTCAACAGAACCATCTAAATAAATTTCCATATTCAAAAATTCTCAAGATCATAGAAGCTAAAAATTCCCTTAAAAATCATATTAGTTACTAAATAAATTTTGCTAACTTTTATGTAAAATTTTCATTAAAGTAATAATTATAATGGTTTGTTACATAAATAAATATTTACCCTCTAATTCACATGGTTAAAGTTAAATTGTTAATTCCAATGTAGATAATTCAAACAACAAAATATAGTTATTTGTTGTAAAGATTTATTTTATAAATAAATTTTTAGTGTAGAGTTGCATTCCATTTTTTTTTTCCTTTGTAAATATATAGATATTTTGATATGAAAAAAAGTTATATTGTTTATTACAATGCATGTGTGCTTTCACTTCCCTCCAAAAACTACATTTATTCTAAACAAACAAATTTGGTGAATTTCTACGTGAGATATCAATAAAACAATAGGTATAATTAATTTTTTAAGTAAATAATTATGATTATACATAATTATACGCATAGGGAACTTGCATTTCAATTCTCATGGTCAAATAAATTTTGATGAAATTTTTAAATCCTATGAAGCTAAATCAAACAATAAAAAATAATTATTTTTATAAAGATTCTTAATAAAAAAATAGTTATTTATTGTGAATTTCGATCCTATATTTTCATTATATTTTCTTTTACCTTTGTGAGTAACATCCCTCCCTATATATTAATTCAAAACGTGTTCAGCCTAAGTGGCAGACTCACACGCTTCAGATGATGACATGGCAAATATCTATAATTCGGAATATTGTTTGTATAATAGTTGTTTTGCTTTGGAATTATGTTTGGTACAGAGATAAATAACTTTTTCAAACTTGGTAATTGTAAATTTAATTTTGTATTTTGTTTTCTCTTAATACAAATTTTCTTCTTAATTTGGACAAGTAACAATCTTACCATCTTATAATTTTTTTTCATATTTCTCTTATAAATTTCGATTTACAAATTACTTTCTGTATTGTTATTTCTCTTTTTTTTCATTAATTAGTCTATCAAAAATTTTTAAATAAATTTTTATTTTAGCAATAATATTTATAATATATTTTTTAACTCAATATCCGTATAGTACACGGGTATTGTACTAGTAATTGACTTGCATGCAATTTTTTATTATTTTTTTCTTTTTCCATTTGTGAGTGTAAGTTTCTTTTCTTATATACTACATTTTTTTTTAGTTTTTCATTGAAATTACATGTTAAAATCTCATTAAATAATTATTATTAAAAGAAAATTTTAAAACAAAATTTAATTTCAATTTATTAAATTTACCCATGTTCATCTTTTCAATTGATTGGGAACCTGGAAATAGAAAATTTAAAAAAAAAAATAGAAAAATATCTATTGAAACTTTAAATTATATGAGTTCCTATAATCATGTGACGCTCTATAAATTATAATCATAAAAGATACTAAAAGGGTAATTTAATTAGTTTTCAACATTGAAATTGTATTACAAAATCATTGAAAATTAATTTTTTATTTTAAAAACTACCATTTTAGGCTTTTATATAAATTAAAATATTATAATTTAAATTTTAGAAAAACTAATCATTCACGAGTTCTAATGTGAGGTCAATTAAGGGTTAGACAAGTCAACGTGTCATTGTTTTTAAACAATATAATTTATTTGTTTAAATAAATAAATAAAATACACCTCAGAGAAATTTAAAAAAATAATAAAGTTATATATATCATAAATAATATTATTGGTCGACTAAATTAGATGTATTTTTCATAAAAACAAAACATACAATTCACAAACTTCAAGGACGAGTCTACATATCCATATGAAATAGGTATTGAAAATGGTTAATAGATAACCTTTACTTGAACAAAGAATTATCTGATCAATGGTATCAGCATAAATATTGAAATAATGAAACAAAAGAAAAATAAGCATAAGACAACTTTGAATGCAAACATCGAAAGTTAATTGCATTTATGGGTGTATAATAAATTATTATTTCATAACTGATATTTTACAACTAAAAATGAAAATAAAAAATGATAGCATGCTAACAACGAGAGAAATATTACAACATATAAAGTTCCACTGAACTTACTGTAAATGCAACTTTTGATCATTATCATATTTTACAATTTTAGTTTTAGTTTTTATTGTGTTAGAGTTATATATTATAATTAATTTAAATGTTTTACACTTATTATTTTGCAAGAATTATATCAATGTGTATTTCTAAAATAATAAGTTAAATTACAATAATTCTCATAAAGTCCATGCAAAATAAGTGTTGGCTATTGACCTAAACGTTGGCGGTGATCATCTTGATTGTTCATTTTATATAATCAGAAAATATTAAAACACCTTGAAAAATAAGCAAAAATAATTTGATATATAGACATAAAGGAACTTTTATTTTTACATTTAGATGGACATTTAGTATCACATTTTGTATGCAAAACAAAATTTACTTGATTTAGTGTCCAAACATGAAATTGAAATTTGATTTCATACTTATGGGTAAACAATAGACTAATATTGCGAAATAACATTGTAAAATTAAAAAAAAAAAAATGAAATTATAACATAAAGATTGAGAGGATTTCGGCCATAAGAGTGAGAAATAGTGATTTTGTATAATGTCTTTTATATTAGTCCGGGTCTTAATTAATTGAAAAATTTGAGCAAAAAATATACTTTTTTTTTTAATTTACTTAATTTTTAGTTGGCATTTGTCTCATTTAGACCTAAATTTAAAAGTTTGTGCTTAAGTGTTTGTCCTCCTTTTAATTTATTTATTAATCCACATTTATACAACTACAATTTTTATAAATAAAATAATCCCGACTGGGAGGGAAGGAAGGAGTGAGGGAGGACCGAACGAGCATAATGTGTTAATTATTGTTAAATTTGTTCATCTAACACATGTTTTTTCTCCTAAGAGAATAACGAGAATATATTATTGTTACCAAATCGTTGTAGCAAATAAAGTTCAATACGATTTACTATAATGCATCCACTAAATGTTAGTTTTATCAAATAAATTTTATTCTTTAAAAAAGTTTATAATATAATTTAAATATTTTTTTTCTTATTAATTTTCAAAAAAAATTTTACTATGCACATTTCTAAAATTACAATAATTTACTTTTCTCAAGAATTACATGAAAAAATAAGTAAATTGTTATTGATTTAAATATTAACAATTACACAAGATCTATTTGTGACTTAAAAAAAAATGATTCATCTTGCAGGTTATTCATTGATCGCCATCACACTTATTTTACAAGTAAATAAAATGTTGAGAATATTTTTTCAATAGAAAAAAGTAAAAAGTATGTGTGCATAATTTAAAATTAAATACATGTGGATCGAAGTTGGGTCATTTTTTAGTATATATTTAATTTATGTTTCTTAATTTTAATTGGCTCATATTTATGGATGTTGACTTCAATTATTTGTATATTTGTTTATTCGTATAATAGTAATAATGACTATATATTTTTTTTAAAAAAAATAAAAATTATGCTTTTTTCGAGGTATTTTTATGAAAAAGTTTCAAGGATGAGTGACATTAATTTGACAAATACAAATTTCCGCTGAATATCACAAAAACTTTTTGTTTAGTTTAACTAATTTAATTTATTTTAAAGAAAATAACATATAATAGATTAATGAATTTCTATTGTTTGATGATAATTATTTATGTTGGTGATGGTGATAATGAACACAGTTCATTAATTACTACTAATGTTATATTTAGGAAAATATATTATAATATAATCAACAAAAATTTATTCTACTTTTTATATATCTTTATATAAGTTTTATGAAGTATTTATTTATTTTTTTAAATTACATTCCATCCACATTTTTAAAATCAGGTTGCGTAACGCACGAGTGACGTACTAGTAGAACTAATAACATATACACTAAATTTCATTTCATCCACTTGTAACATCCAGCTGCCTTAAAGGCCCATTAATGTTCTTGTAACACAATAATATATAAATATATATATATATATATATATATATATATACTAATTTCATTGCCTTAAAAGATAGCATTAATGTTCTTAAAACACACTCCAATAACATATATACTAAAATAAATATAACATATATACAAACACAATCCAGTAACATACCTAGCTACTAAAATAAATGTAACATATATATTAAAATAAATGTAATACAAGTAATATCACATTACCATCACAACACAACACAAGTAATATCACCTTAACAATGTCTAAACACATCCTCCTTCATGCATTGGCCCTAATTCTTCTTCTATGGGCCTCAACCTTCAGTCTCCATCGGGCCTCGGCAACCCTAATCGCAGGACTGGGGCTTGAGGCTGGCAGTCTCAAGCTGCCGAAAATCCAGCAGTGCGCTGGCAGCATTATGGCAGTGCCCGACTGCCTCAACAGCATCATATTCTCTGCCCTCAGCCTCAACCCCCAACAGGTGGGGCCCACATGCTGTCAGGCCTTCCTTCAGATCGACCAAAGTTGCTGGCCCAAACTCTTCATCCTCAACCCAACCTTTCCTTCCTCCCTCAAAGATTGTTGTGTTGGCATTCAGAACTCCCCACCGAAAGTCCCGAGCCTGCCACTGCCGCTGCCGCCGCCGCCACCATCACCGTGCTCAGATGGAGATGATGATGGCTACATTGAGGATGGCTCGTAAATTCGTAATTAGGAAAGATGTGGTAGTGGCCGGAGAATAATTATTATTCGATGTGTGTGGGTTTTAGAGGTGGTTATTATGAGAATTAATTAATATGAGGGTGGTAAATTGGTAATGAATATAATTGTTTCTTTCTTTGTTTGGTTTGTTGTTATTAGGCTACCGAATATTGGAGTGTCCTTCATTTTTACATAATTTTGGGTACGGGTAATTGTTGGTGGATGATTTAGAAAATAAAAAATTAGTTGATAATTGGTTGAATCCCATTTATCTTATTGAAAAATTAATAAAATTGTATATCAATTTAAAAAGTTAATTATAAATTCATTACATATAGATTAGAGATATTATTATAATAACAAATCGTACAAGTGAAAAGTGCATTTTAAATATATAAATAACAATGAAATCTTTAAAAAGTATTTTAAATTTTAATAAAAGAAACTTTTGTCTTATATTTATTTAAGAATTTTCACGGTATTTTTTTTAAGAAAATTATGTATCAAATAAAGATGTTATCTATAAATTCGTTACATATGAATTTTAAAAATTATTATAATATAAAACCGTCAAATCGTACATGTAAAAAGTATTATTTTAAATATAAATAATAATGTATTTTCTAAAAAAAAATTATTTGAAATATAAATTAAAAAATCTATTATATATATATTTTTTAAAATTTCAGTACGGTTTTTAATTAGTATTTGTGTAATCAGTCTCTTGTACTAAAATAACAAATAAATAATAAATATTTAAAATGAAGAAATGTGAAACACAAAATTTGAAGTATGGAACTTCTTTAATCCTTTCTCCTTTTTTTTTTCAATTTTTATAGACACAAAAGTTAAGATTATTTCAATCTCTAAATGGCTATAAAGAAAGAAAAGATATCCTTACTATATAATAACATTTTCTATTGCCTCAAAAGGTACCCAAAAAGAACTATTAAGAGAGCAATAATATAGACCCATTGCCTCAAAATCTAAAAAAAAAAATTAACACCAACTATGCACAAATTATCTGACACCAAATCTGCAACATGTGCTCGATTATTAGTTCGTTAATGGCTCGAGTTCGAGCTCGTTTACACCACCAGCTGTGTGTATCTCATGAAGCCCATTGATGCTAGTTTGGCTGACTTTGCCGAGATTGAACAGCAATTCATCTACTAATTTCTCTTTCCTAGCTACTTCAATTAGTTTTACAGTGAAACATTGTGAACCATTCTCATCTGCAGGTAGATTTTAGTTAT